TGTTTCAGTGCAAAGAACCACTCAGGTGCTGGTCACAGCCACAGCGGAGGCCTTGAGGGGGATGCAGTCTGGAAGTTGGGCAAGAGCCACACTGAGCCAGTGCAACCAGGACACAGACCTCAGAAGTGTTTGTCTTCCTGGGCTGGGTCAGAGGGAAAACGAAACTCTTCATCACAGAAGGCTGGGCCCGAGGCAGCAGCACAGACACCCCTGCACAGGAGGATGGCTCTGGTAAGTCCCCAGAAAGCTTTTAACTCAAACACCGCAATCCTGTTAGTGGAGATGATGTGGGTGTCCTTGCTGGGCTGCAGTGCTGGCACCGAGGGGCACGGGTGCCTGCTGAGGCCTGAGGGCCCACTATCCGGGGCGGGAGGGCTCCCCAGAGCCTTCGTGAGGAGGCAGGAATGGTGGGCTCAGGGGGGCAGCCTCTGCCCACTGCCCAGTCCCACCTCCTCAGTCACACTGTCCTGCGTGGTTGCGATGAGCTGGGGAGGGAGGAACAGGAGAATGGCTCCCAGCGGTGTGGGGCCGCGGCGGGGGCTGCAGGAAGGGTTCTTGTCCACCCTTCACCTCCAAGCAGCTCACCTGTTTCCTCTGCTTTTCTTTCCATCCCTCTCTTTACCTCCATTTGTTTCTCCTTCCTTCTGGCTCCATAACAGTCACATTTCCGAATGCTCGCTGCATCCCGACACCGTGCAAAAGGCTTTTATTTAATCTCTGCTACAAATATGTGAGCACATCTTCCTTGTTAACTGCCCCCTTCCCCCTCCGCAAACCCGCATGGAAACCTAACACTGAGGCTAAAGTGCACTGCACCCCCCACTTCTCATCCCCCCTCCTACCCCCGGCACACAGTCCCTTCTCTGTGTGGCTCCGTCCATGTCCTGCCAGGTGTTTTCTAGTTCTTTGCATATAGAAGTGTAGCCACCTTTAAGTGTTGTTTTGTGGCTTTGGGTTTTGCTGTCATTCTTAACTTGGTTGTCTGAGTACAGTTCACTTAGGAAATGCTTGAATCTTTACCTTTATTTACCAGCTTTTGAAATAATATGGTGATTCTTTTGTATCCTCCAAAGGTAACCAATGCATTTTTTAAAATGTCATTATGAGCACACTAGAGGCCTGGTGCACAAATTCATGCACCAGTTTGGTCCCTTGGCCTTCCCTGCGGGATCAGGACAAAACTGGCTCTCCAACATCCCCTGAGGGGTCCTGGATTGTGAGAGGGTGCAAGCCAGGCTGAGGGACCCACTGGTACACAATTGGGGCCAGGAGGGATGTGGTCAGTTCACCAAATGGGGAGGGTGTGCCTGGCTTATCTCACTCAGTCCCCATCAGCCAGACCCCAGCAGCACGCTTACCTACCGGTCAAAGCATCTTCCCCCCAATGGTCAGTGCATGTCATAGGGACTGGTCTACCATTCGACTGTCTGCCCCTTGGTGATCAGTGCATGTCATAGCGAGTAGTTGAGGGGCCTTAGCATATCATTAACATATTCTGAGTTGATTGGTTGATGGTATAACTGGACAACCAGACACTTAGCATATTAGGCTTTTATTATATAGGATTGATATCATTATTCACATATCTGATGTGTGTCTTTTTGATGCTCAAATTGTTCCATCTTTGGTCAAGTGGACCCATGATGCCTGTAGTCAAAAGCTTTTCTCTCAACCACGTCTCCCCCAGCAGACTTCCAGTTGGCAGCCAACCTCACTTCACCCAGCAACAGCCACCCACCCTGGTCACGGTGGTCGGGCCCTTGGGACCCTGCTCACCTGAGTCAGGGAGGAGAGATGCTGCCTGGCCTCAGAGCGATCCTAAAATAGAACCTGGGTGATACGGGCGTCTCTCACATTCCCCGTGGGATGAGGGCAACATACTTCCTGCTCATGCAATCTCCAGAAGGGCGCTGCCCTGCCACCAACTCCAGTCACACCCTGGGTCCCCAGCTGGGTCTTGGCCTGGCGCCCAGACTTCAGCGGCCCCCGCCCGCCTGGGATGCTCTGGGATGGTTAAGGGCGCAGCGTTGGTAACATGCAGACCTAGGTTTGATCTTTCTCTCTGTTCACTGGGTAAGAAGCTTTGCATGTTACCCAACCTTCCTGAGACTCAGTCTTCTCATCTGTCAAATGGGGTCATGACAGTTTGTGGTCAAAGGAGTGATGGATGTGAAATGTGGGCATGTTGAGCACCGTGTCCGGCTGTGCAGGTCGGGGCTCTATCACTCAGAATCACTCAGGCCCGGCGCAAGGTGGGGGTCCTTGATGGGGCATTTGGGACTTCCTGGGAGTCATATACTCACTCACTGACACCAACATGCTCTGGCATAAAATGTGCTCATGCCCATGTCTGCCCACCTGCCCACTCCTCCCCCCCGGACACCCTGTCCATCTCTTCTTTGTCCCCCAAAGAGCTCTCTCTCAGCTCAGCAGCCCCAGTAAAGGAGGGGCTTCCCATCTGTGGGAGGAGAGCGCCATCTTCTGTGTCCTGCAGGAGATGAGCA